GGATTTCTCACGGAGAATCCTTTCGGGGAAAGGAGGGATAAGCAGCAGAATACTTGAAGCTGATTGGGCGAAGTGACGCTGTGTGCCCGCCTACCAAGGTTTGACTTACGTAGGTAAAAATGCACAAACATCTTTGCCGTCCAGAAATGAACACAAAGCGCCTCTCGCTGTTCATCTTTCAAAAAAGAAATTGGAGATTCTGCTAAAACTGACTTGATAGCCTCAGCTACGCGTCCGTCCTCCTGCGTAGCCATGTTTGTTTTGCTTCGGCCCGGCACTTCTTGCTTTCGTCAAACCCGGATATCCCGCCCTAAACCCCCAGACTGGCGCTTGATTGGCTCGCACACCCAGTGGTTCGAAAAGTGTAAGCGGGAGCGGTACAAGATGTATTCTCGAGTGTTTGTGAACTCACAAATACCGCGAGAATTCAGCTTGCAGGCAAGGTTACCTGAAAACACCTTTTTTTTTTATTCTAAACTACATTAAGGAAATTTAGCAGAAATTAATATTAGTGTAAGAGGTACACATAAGTATCATTTATGGATGGCCCTCAGCAGAGGACCCTGTACTCCCGGAGAATCCCCCAAAGGACACCCCGGGGAACACGGTCGAACGCCTTCTCCAAGTCCACAAAGCACATGTGGACAGGTTGGGGCGAACTCCCATAAACTCTCGAGTATCCGATTGAGAGTATAGAGCTGGTCCAGTGTTCCACGGCCGGGACAAAACCACACTGCTCCTCCTGAATCCGAGATTCGACCATCGGCCGTAGCCTCCTCTCCAGTACCTTGGAGTAGACCTTACCAGGGAGGCTGAGGAGTGTGATCCCACGATAATTGGAACACACCCTCCGGTCCCCCTTCTTGTAGAGAGGGACCACCACCCCGGTCTGCCACCCCGATTGCCTTGCGATATTGCAGAGACCTGTCAGCCAAGACACTCCTACAACATCCAGAGACTTTAGATTGTCAGGACGGATCTCATCCACTCCCGGAGCCTTGCCACTAAGGAGGCTGCCAACCACCTTGGTGACCTCAGCCAGGGAGATGGAAGAATCCGCCCCGACATCCTCAGCCTCTGCCCCCAATTCAATACACTTTATTCTTGTATAGCCCTAAATCACAACAGAAGTAATCTCAGAGGACTTAATAAAAATAGAACACATGTTGAAAAATGTCCATACTTGTTCTAGAATGTTAAAGTCGTCACGTCCTGGATCATCACCACAGTCCTTCTAGTTGGACACTAACTACCCAACAGACCCTCCTGCATTGGCAAGGAAAAACTCATAAGAAAACCCCCCTCCGGTTCAGAGGACGTGACGAGGCACCTCTTTACTTTCCGAACTCCTCCCAGTCCTGGGTTTTTGCCTTTGCAACAGCCCGGGCCGCAGCACACTTGGCCAGCCGGTACTGGACAGCTGCCTCAGGAGTCCCACGGACCATCATGGCTTGATAGGACTCCTTCTTCATCCTGACGCATCCCTTACTGCCGGTGTCCACCACCGGGTTCGGGGTCTGCTGCCGGGACCAGCACCAGAGACCTTGAGAACACAGCTGCGAGCTGCAGCATCGGTGATAGATGCGGAGAACATAGTCCACTCAGACTCAATGTCCCCCTCCTCCGCCGGGACCTGGGAGAAGCTCTCCCAGTGAGTTGTGTGAGTTAAAAGTCTGTCTGACAGGGGGCTCAGCGAGACGTTCCCAGCAGACCCTCACTACACGCTTGGGTCTGCCAGGTCTGACCGGCTTCCTCCCCTGCCAGCGGATCCAACTCACAACCAGGTGGTGATCGGTTGACAGCTCCGCCCCTCTCTTCACCAGAGTGTCCGAGACACGCGGTCGAAGGTCAGAGGATACGAGAACAAAGTCGACCATCGACCTCCGGCCTAGGGTGTCCTGGTGCCACATGCACTGGTGGACACCCTTGTGCTGGAACATGGTGTTTGTGATGGACAAACTGTAACTAGCACAGAAGTCCAACAACTGAACACCGCTCGGGTTCAGATCAGGGGGGCCGTTCTTCCCAAGTGTCACTGGCATTTCCCACATGGGCGTTGAAGTCCCCCAGGAGAATAACGGAGCCCCCGGGCGGGTGGTGGGTCCAAAGGAGGGCCTGCCCATGTCATCCCTTTGGGCTGAGCCCGGCCGGGCCCCGTGGGCTAAGGCCCACCAGACTCTCGCATACAAGCCCCAACCCCAGGCCTGGCTCCAGGGTGGGGCCCCGGCTGCGCCATGCCGGGCGACGTCACGGTTCTCAATAACATGCTATACATGGTGGGTTTTGGACTCATCAGCTGAGACCTGTTTGCCATGGGAGACCCTACCATGAAGCCCCAGACAACATAGCTCCCAGGATCATCAGAGTACTCAAACTCCCTTACCACGTTAAGGTGGTAGTCCAGGGGGGCATAATATTCTGTAAAATAATCCATCCATTTTCTTCCCCTTAATCTATTCCTGGGTTGGAAGGTGGCCAGAGATGCCACTCATTACACAGAGCACAGCTCTATGGCATAGCCTTAGTCTTTCAGAGGGGCCTTCAGGCAAAGTGGGATAAAGTGTCTTGCCCAAGGATACAACAACAGCAGATGCTCTAATAATGCTCTTCCAACTGAGCCAACTGAAACTAATGACTTCTGCTGGAAGGTTTACAGGTATACTTTATAATTAAAAGCTATATTATTTTGTTATTTAAGTGTTTTTCATAAATGTGTTAAAAATATCTGTGTTAATTCCTGGTATAACATATCAATTTCTCATTACCGAAACAGTGAATCTCTCTACCGCAACATGCCTTTAACTGTTGCGGTGTATGATAATGCTGTTGCGGAGTATGAGTGACCTTGAAATTTTCCGCTGTCTGCGAAGGCACCACAAGGCTTAGCTAAACTTTAGCTAGCTGTTTATTTTTGGACCATAATGAAGTATATAATAAACAAGAATTTTTAAATAAAAAAAAAATATCAATGTTAAAAACGTTGCGTATCGGTAATGAGAAATGAAAAGTCGTGTAGCTGCTGTAATGAACAAACTTTTAACTTTTATCTGGAGAGAAATAAAATTAGGTGCTTATCTGGTAGCTATTTTGAGTGTCACTGGAAATGATGTTCCTCCCTTCCGAATTCTTTGATTTTGTAAGTTCCTTGTGGACTTAAACGATTATTGAAAATTGTTGCGGAGGATGAGAAAAATGGTTGTGGACAAAGTTATTTTCCTTAAAACTTTAACTTATTTTATACAAGAATACCCAATATCACATGTTTATTTATTGTAACTGTTTATAGTATAACATGCACTGATAATCTATACATTTCATTTTTTTTTTTTTTTTTAATTGTATTTCAAAGTTCTCAAATTCAGTAATGGACGCGTTGCGGTAATGAGAAATTTACTATTAAATATGGAAAAAACAATAAAAATATTTTTATAATGTTCACTTTAAATCATGTGCAACATAGCCTGTGATGACATGTTTATAAATGTATCATTATAATTTCCATTGCATTTACTTTGTTCATCTTATTCTTCATGCCACCTTGTAAGTCTGATTTCGCGAGAATCACCAGTATGTGTGTGATATGGTGGGTATGGGAGAGGGGGAAAGGGATATGTAGGTGGGAGTGAATGGAATTTGGGTATGGGTTGGAGAGTGTGGGGTGTGTTTGTTTGGGATATGAGGTGAGTGTATGGGAATAATGTAATGATGGGGGTATAGGATGGGGGAGGGGAGTAAGGTGGTGTTGTTGGGGGGGTGGGGGGGGGGGGGTTTGAGGGGGGGATGAAGGGATAGGGGTATGGTATATGTAAGGGAAAGAATGAATTGGGGTAGGGGTTTGGGATATATTGAGGAGGGGTATTGGGATTTTGGGGGAGAATATATTGGGTTAAGGAGATTGGGGTTTTGGAATTGGTAAAGTTTTTTTTGGTATGGGGGGGTTATGTGTTGGGGGAAAGTTTTGGGATTGGTTACAGTTAATGGGGTTAGATGATATGGGTATAAATATTGGTGGGGGATGGGAAGGGGGGTATAGGATTGGTGTTGGGAGGGTGTTGTATTTTGGAGGGAGGTATTTTGTTGATAGGGTGATGGGGAGGTTTTGGTTGGGTGTAGGGAGATATGTGGAGATTGGGTTGGGTTGTTAGGGTGTTTAGGGAGGTAGGGTTGGGGAGTGAAAGAATAAGGGGAGAGTGAGGTATAATAGAGTGAGGTATTATAAGGTTATATGGGGTAGTTTTGTTTGGGGTTTGAGGTATAGGGATTTAGAAGATTTTGGGAAATGGATTATGTATTAGGGGATTTTTGTAGTGGTTTGGGGGGTGAAGAATTAGTTTGTATGATGGAAGGTATGAGTTTTGAGGATGGGGGGAGGGGGGGGGGGGAGGGGTATAAGGGAGGAGGGGTGAGGGTGATTGGATGGGAGTGGGTAGGGGGTGAGAGTTGGGGGGGTGAGGAGAGATGAGAGGGAGGATAGGAGAGGAAGAAATAGTGTGTGGGGTGAATTAGATTTTTAGGTAAGGAGGGTGGGGGTGGGGGGTTTGTATTATGGGGATATTTATTGATGTGAGTGGTGGGTTTGGGGGTGTGATGGTGGTGTATAGGGGTTTGTGAATGGTTGTTTTGTAGTTGTTGGTGTGGGGAGTGATGTTTTATTATTGTATGGGGGGGTGGTTGGGGTGTGGGTATGTTTGTTGTAATTATGATTTTGGGATAAGGGGGGTGGGTTTGATGGAGAATGGTGATGTGGTGATAAGGTGTGATGTGATGTTTGGAGGGTGTGTTGTGAGGGTGGTTTTATGTGTATGTGGGGGGGGGTAGTGGGAGGGGGGGAATGATTGTTGGTGTGGTTGGTTAGGAGGGTGGATTTGGGTTATAGGAATTTTGGAGGATGGGATTTTGGTGTTATTTTAAGGTGGTGGGTTTTTAAGGGGTGTGATTGGGATATAGGGTGGGGTTAATGTATGGGGGGTGTTTGGGTGATTAATTTTTGGGTTGGATAGGTATGATGGGGTTGGAGGGGTTTTGGTGGGGATTTTTGGGTGGGGAGGTATTTGGGGGGTTTGGGTTGGGATATATGTGTTTGGGAGGGGTGGGGGGGGGGTATTGTGTTAAGGGGGTTGGTAAGTTGTGGGTGAGGGGTATATTTGTGTGTGGGGTGGTTTTGGGGATAGAGGGAAGGGTTTATAGTATGGGTGGTTGGGGGGGGGTAAAGGGGGGGTATTTGTTGGTGGGTGGGATTATTTAGAATGGGGGGGGGGGGTAATGTATTTTAGGGTTGGGTGGGATTATTGGGGGGGAGGGGGTTTGGTGTATGGATGGGGTATGGGATGGGGGGTGTTGAGGGGGAATGAAGAGGATGAAAGTGAAATGAAGGGTTCTGTTTGGGGGGATGATGAATTTATGGAGGTGGTGAGGGGTTTGGAGGATTTGGATGATGTGGTGGATAGGGGGGGGGGGGGGGGGGATTGAATTTTGGGTTGATGGTGTTGGGGTGTGATTAAGGTAGGTATTTATAGGGATGTAGTTGTAGTTGATTGTGGTAGGTATGTTTTGTGTGTGAGGGTGGGGATTAGGGTAGGTTGATTTTAGGGATGGGTTTGGTTTTATTGGTTGGAGGGAAGGGTGGAAGGAATTAGGGTTAATTGGGTGGGTGATGGGTGGAGGGGGGAGGTTGGTGTGGGGTATATTTTGATTGATTTAGGAATGAAGGGGGAAAATTTAGAGGGATGTAAATGTTTGAGTGGATTGTGAATGGTGGGGGGGGTAAGATTTTTGGGGGTATGGGGGGGTGTTAGTGGGTGGTTTTTAATAATTAGTTGGGAAGGGAGGAAGGGGGGGTTTGTGGGGGGGTAGGAGGGGGGTGGAGTGAGGAGGAAAGTATGGAAAAGAAGATTAATTGGGTTATAGAAGGTTAAGGAGAGAGAGGTAGGAGGGTGGTTGTGAATGTATGGATATGTGTGGGAGGGTGGGAGTAAGGGTTGGGGATTTTAAAAAGGTTTTTTTGTTGGTGACTTAGGAGTTGATCGGGGAGTTTAGGGATGGGGGGTAGAGGGGGGGTGGGGATGTTGGGGATGAGTTGTTGGGTTGGGGGTGGGGTGATTTGTGAAAAGGGTAGTTGAAGGGTAAGGTTTGGGGTTTAGGTTGAATGGAGGTATGGGAGAGGGGGGTAGGGGAAAATTAGGGTTTTTTGGGAGGGGGAATGATGGGGATTAGATGGGTTTGGATTGGGGTTTTGGGTTGGAGGTTTGAAAGGGGAGGGGGGGTAGAATGGGGTTTGGGTGGGAGGAGGTTGTGGGGAGGGGGGGGGTTGGTTTTGTTGGAAGGGAAGGAGAGTAAAGTTAAATGTAGGATGGAAATAAAGGAGTTGTAGTAAATATGAGTGGGTGATTAGAAAGTAAAGTTAAATGTTAATTTTGGTTGGGGGGGAGGGATGAATGTTTGGGAGTGAATATTTTAATTTAGGTGTTGAGATGTGAGTAGTGGGGAGTTGTAGATGTGGTTTGGGTGTGTTGGGGGTATGTAGGGAATAGGAAGAGAATGGTATGGAGATGAATATGGATTGGTGGTATTATTAAGTGGGTATAGGGGTGGAGGGGGGAATATTGATATTTGGGGGTGGTGGGGGGAATGGGGTAATGTTGGTGTAGGTTGAGTTGGTTTGGGTGAAGAGTAATGTGTATTTTGGTGAAGTTGGTTGGAGGGGTGTGGTGGATTTGTGGGTTGTGGGGGGAAAAGTTGGGAATAGGGGTGGGGGTGGGGAGGGGGAGTATGGGGGGTGTGATGGTGTGTGAAGAAGATATTTAGTAGGAGTTTTGGGGTTTAAGGATTGAGTGTTAAGTGATTAATGATGAATGGTGGATAAAAGGGGTGGGGGATGGGAAAAGGAAGGTTGGGAAGGGGGGGGTGGTATGAATGAGAGGGAAGTAAAGGGGTGGGGTGTGGGAGTTGATGTGGGGTGGAGAAGAAAGTTTAGGGTTGTTTAATGGGGGGGAGGATGAGGTGGGGGGGTTGGAGGGGGGGTGTTGTAATGGGTATAAGGGATGTATGTAGGGGTGGGGAAAGGGTTGGAGATAGAAGGAAGGATGGTTGGGAAAGATAATTGGTAAGGAGTATGAGGTATTTGGGTGGGGGGATGGTTCGTGAAGTGGATTTTTTGTTGATAGATTGGAGTTTTTTTTGAAGGTTTTGTTTTGGAAGGTTTTTGGGGGGGTTTGCGTGGTAATGTTTGGTATTTAGATTGGTGTAAATGTATTTTTTGAGTAGGTAGTTGGGTTAACCTGATGATAGAACAGGATAAGGGGTCCATAAAAGGTATTAATATAAGGTGTTTGGGGTGCGGGGGTTTGGAAGAATTTTGGTCTTCAAGGAGAGGAACGGGTTTTATATTAAAGCAGGGTATTGAGGGTGTATAAAATAATTAAATTTGTGTTGAGGGAGGTTGTTTAAAGGAGAGTTGTGTGGTTTTTATTATATAGGTGTGTTGGAAGTATTTACAAGTGTGGGTTGTATAGGACTTTGGATGTGACGTTTGAGGAGACGGACAACGGGGGGGGGGGGGGGGGGTTTGTGATCCCTGGACAGGAATCTGATGAGGTGCATAAGACAAAAAAGGGGGGTTAGAACTGGTAAGGAAAGGTGGGAGGGGGTAAAAAAGTAACTTGGTCTCTTAGAAACAGGGTTAGGAAGTATAAGGGAAAGGGTTTACAACAACCGTGTACTTGAACGAGTTAGGAGATAAGTGTGAGGTAGCGGGAAGAGCTGTCCCCAGGGTGGTTTGACAAAGGGCAATGTACTGGTTCTGGTAATGGGCCAAAAAGAAGATGCATATTTCAAATACCGAGGGTAACCACCGGGGTCATGGGGGGGCACAATGGTGCCAAAAAACCGTGTAATTTGAAAACAAATGGATAGGAGTGGCACAGGTTAGAGGATATGAGGGGATTTTCATCGGTCACGGGATATATGTGGGGAGCACATGCACGGTATAGAAGGGTGCATTGCAATAACCCCGTGGTAGACTAAGAAGGTAGTGGTGGCGGGGGGAATATAAAATTGGACAGTGAAAAAACGGGGTCGACATGATAACGGGAAAGGCGGATAAAACTTGGATGGTGGAAAGTGAAGTGGGAGCATAGTGAGCGGTAAGAGGGAGGAGATGGTAAAAGAGGTGGGTTGGTGAATAGGGCATTATTATTTAGGGTAAGTTGGGGAAAACGAAGTATTTGGAATATATGAGGGTTTGAAAGGGAATGGGGGGGTGGGAACCTGGGGACAGTCAGGAGTGTATATGGGAACGGAGGGTGGGGGTTAAATGGGAAGGGTGTTGAGGTGGAAATGGATATATATGAGGGTGTGGGGGATTTTTGGGAATATGGGGAGGATGTGTGAGATTGTAAAGGGGAGGATGTGAAGTTTTTGTTATGGTGGGGAGTGATTGTAAGGGGGTGGTGTTTGAAATGTTTTGTGATGATAGGGGTGTAAAGGTTTGTAGGGAAGGTGGAAGTGGGTGGAGGGAGGAGCTGGGGGTATTTGGGTATGTAGGGTTTGGGGAATAGGGGAAAGGGGTGGGGGATAAATGTGTTGATATTGTGTTTGGGGTATTTAGGGGGATGAGAAGAGGGTGGGTTGGTATAATATGTTTGAGGGAGTAGGTAGGTTTTGAGGGGGTGAGTGGATGGGAGGGTAATGAGAGGGAAAATAGGAATATATAGATGGTGGGAAGGGGAAAGATGGAGGTGGGGGGTGGTGGTAATGGGAATGGGAGTATTTGAGTTGGGGGGGTTAGAGTGGGTTGGTTTTTTGTTTGGCTAGGGGAGGGTGGAGTGTGGTGGATAGGTGAGATGGGGGGGTTTTTGGATGTGGGGAGGAATGAAGGTTGTGGGGGGGGGATTTGGAATAAGAGGGTATAAGGAGAAAAGTAGAAATAGGTGGTAGGAGAGGGGGGGGAAGGGGGATTTTATAGTTCAAAAATAGGGAATATTTGAAAAATAGGGGTATGTGATTGAGTGGAGATATAAATGTGGATGAAGTAAGAGGGGGTAGATAAAAAGGATTGGGGGATTTGGGGGGTGGGGAGGGGGGTGAGTGGGTGTAGGGGGGGTATCGGGTGGGAATTAAACAAGGTAAATGTTTTGGGTGGTTAGGGGGTGTTATAGTGTGGTTTGTGAGTTTGGGGTGTATGGAAATAAGGGAAGGATATTGGAGGTGGCAAATGTAGGTGAGTCAGATAGGTTGATGGGGGGGTGAATGGAATATATATGGATGATGGATATATATGTAGAAGGGGGGGGGGGTATGGAAGAGGAAGAAGGGATTAGAGATATATGGGTTTGTAGTTGGTTAGGTTTATGTTTTGATTTTGGGGGGTTGTGGAAGGTGTATTGGGGTTGGGATGGATGGGGGGGTTTTAGGGGTTGTTGGGGGGGAATAAGTATGTTAAATATGGTTTAGTTTTGTTTTGTGTGAATATATTAGAATGGGGATGGTATGTGTGTGGGGTTTTGGAGGAATGGTGGAATAGGGTATAGTTTGGGGGGGGGGAAGGGTATAAAGGGGTGTGTATGGTGGGTTGATTTGTAGGGGTGTGGGTATGTGGGATGATGGGGATTAATGTTTTGTTTTGGATTGTGGAGTATGTATTGTGTTGTTTTTTATGGGAAATTGGGGGGGTGGGGTTAGTATGTCTTATAGTGTGGGGGGGGTAAGGGTGGTTTTTGGGGGGTTTTTTGGTAGGGGGTTTGGATGAGTGGATGAATGGTGAGAGATTTTGGATGGGGTTGAAGGGGATATTATTGGGTTAGGGGGGGAGATTTATGTTGGGTGTTTGGATTGGGTATGTGGGTGGGGGTAAATGAGGTTGTGGTGTGGTTGGGGTGTAGAGGTATGGGGGAAGGATGAGAGGGTGGGTTGGGGAGGGGTATTTGTAGTTTATTTATGGATGGGGAAAGGGGGATGGGGTGGAGGGGTTATTGGGTAGAGGGGGGAGGGGAGTAGAGAGATAATGGGGGGGGGGGGGTGTGGGAGAAAGGGTGGGAGGAGGAAAGAGGAATGAGATGTGAAAGGGTTGAAGTTTATAGGAGGGAGCGGGTGGTGGGGTAGAGAAGGGAGGTAGTGTGTATGATGGGAAAAAGGGGAGGTATATATATAGAGAGAGAAAAGATTTATGGAGAATTTTAGTGGGTATTAAGGGGATCTTTATGGGGGGGGGGTTGGGGTGGGGATTATGTAAAGAAAATGTTGTGGGGATTAGGGAAAGGAGGGATGGGGAAAGGGTAGAAAGAGGGGGGCATGGATGATGAAAGGAAGGGGGGGAAGGGGATGGAGGGGGGTTTTTTATGACAGGGTAAAAAGGGAAAGTAGGTTTTTGAAGAAAGGAGAGGAAATTTATGTGGGGTGGATATAATAGGGAAATGAATTGGTAAGTGTGGGGGATGTGTGTGTGGGGGTGGGGAAGTGGTTATGTTTATGTGTATATGGGGTGAGGGAGGTGAGGGAGAGTAGGGTGAGGGGAGGGGTTGGAAATAGGGATGGAAGCGGAGAGGGATAAGGGGGGTTGGGTGGGGTGAATTAGGGAAAGATATAGGGATGGAGTAGATGTAGAGATGGGAGAGAGAGAGTGGGGATTGAGGGAGGTAAGGGAGGGGAGTGTAGTTTATAAGGAAAGGGAGAGAAAGGGGATATGTAAATGTAGAGAATAAGAGGGGGGGAGGGAGGGGGAAAGGTGTGGAAGGGGGGAGGAGAAGTTGTTATAGGGGAGGTTTAAGTTGGTGTGGAAGGGTAATGGAGATTGAGAGATAATAAGGGGGGGGTGAAATTGGGGGTGGTAATGATTGTGTTAAAAGGTTGGGGGATATAAGTGGAGGAGTTTGTAGTGGGATTGATGATGGTAGGGGAAGTTATGGTATATAGGGAAATAATGTAATTGGGTGATGGGGGGGGAATAGGATGAAAAGATGGGGGGGAGGGGATAGGAAAGGAGGTGTGGGAGGGGTTGGGGTGATTAGTGTGGGAAGTGTTGGAAAAGGGAGGGGGGGAGAGGAGGAGGGGTAAGGGAGGGGGGGGGATTGTTGTGTGGAAAGGGATAAAATGTGGGATATGTAGGGGGGGTAAAATAGATGGAAGGGTGTGGGGGATTGTTGTATAAGGAGGGGGGTAAGATGTGGGGATATGTGGAGAATTTAATTTTGAAAAAGTTAGGAAAAGGGATAGATAGTAATGGGGAGGGAGAAAGTGGGGGGGGGTGGATGGTAAGGGAGGGAGTGAGGGGGGGAGGAGGGGGAGAGGGGAAAGAATAGGGGGGGGAAGGAAATGGTTTTTTTTGAATTGGGAAAAGAGGGGGGGGAAAATGTGAGGGTGGGGTAAAGGGTGAGGGGTGGGGGGTGGGGTAAGGTGGTAAGGGTGGGGGTATAAGGTGAGGTGGGGGGATGTGTGTATGTGGGGAAGTGAAGGGGAAAGATGGAGGGGAGAGGTAAGAGAAAGATGAAGAGAGGAGAAAGGAGGAAAATATTTATAGAGGATATGAATGGGGGATATGTTAGGGTAAATGATAAGGGGAAGTATGGAGGGATATAAATTGGTGGGTAGGAGGAGAGATGGTGAAAAAAGGGAGATGGAGAATGAGAGAGTTGTGGGTAAAAAAAGGGAGAGTGTATGGAGGAGGATTAAAGGGGGGGGTTAGAAGGAAGAGGTTAGGGGGAAAAGGAGAGGGGGGTGGTGGGTAGTGAGAGAGATTATTATTATTAGGGGTGGGTGATGATTTGTGTGTGTGGAAGAAGGAAAAAGAGGAAGGGGTATTTGTAAGTGTAGGTAGGTAAAAGGGGGGTTTGGAAGAAGGAAGTGTGAATGAGGAGGGATAGTAGTGTGGTAGGGGAGAAGGGGAAAGGGGGGATATAAGATGAAGTAAGGGAAAGAGAAGGGGGGGAAGAAAGGATTATGGGGAGGGGGGAAAGGAGGGATAGGTGTGGGGTTGAGGGGGGGGGGGGCGTTGTTGGGTGTTTGTGGAAGGTGGGTGGGTGGGGTTGTAAGTTTTGATTGTTAAGGGAAGTGGGATAATAGGGGAGATAGAAGAAAGGATAGGGGGAGAATGGAATATGAAATAATATTGAGAAAGTAGAAAAAGGAGAATAAAGGAGTGGGGGGATAAACAAGTGGACAGGGGAGGGTGGGACAGGAGGAAGATAGGGAAGAGGATAGAGATGGATTGATAACATAAGTGATGGAATGTAAGGGTTTGGAAGTAAAAAAGGGATTAAGAAAAATGGGAGGGTGGGGAGGGGGGAGGGAGGAGGGAGGTTGGGGGGTGAATGGGAGGGAAAGTAGGTGGGGTATTGTGTGAGGGGAGGAGGTAAGAGTAGAAGGTGGGGGGAATTAGGAGGTGGGTTTGAGGGGTTGTATGGGTTGAGATGTAGGGGATATGTATGGGAAGACTTTGGAATAATGAAAGGGGAATAGTGGATTGAGTGGGGTGAAAAAGAAATGAGATGAAGAAAGGGGGAAGGTAAGGTAGAATAGGGGGAGGGGTGAAGGTGGGTAATAATTGGGGGTGGGTGTAGGGATGGGGGGGGTATGGGGGTGGGGGAAAAAAAAGGAGAGGAAGGATGGGTAAGTAGGTGTGTGTATGATGTGAGGGGGATAATGGAGGGGGAGTTGGAGGGTATGAAATAGGGGTTAATTGGGGGGGTGGAGAGAGGTGAAGTGATTAGGAGAGATGGTGGGGGGGATTTGTTTTGGGGGAGGGAGAAAGTAATAAGAGAAGTGTTGGGAAATGAAAATGATAAAATGGGTGTGGAGGAGTATAGGGGATAAGGGTGTGTATGGAGGGGAGGGGTAGAGAATAAGTACGAAGAAGGTGTTGGAAATGGAAAAGAAGGGGTGAATGGATGTAGGATGGATGGATGGGGGGTGGGTTAAGGAGGGATTATAAGATAGGAATAATGGTGAAAGATGTGGATGGAAAGGGGGGGGATAATTTGAGTTAGAAGAGGGAAGTGTAGGGTTAATAATGTGTAATATGGGGAGTGGGGGAGGGGGATGAGTAATTAGAAAGAAGAGTGTGAATATGTGTGGGGGAAAGGGGGTGGTTTGTGGGGGGTAAGATAAGGGGGGGGTAGATGAGGGGGTGGGGGGGAAGGGTAGGAAAGGGGTGGAAAGGGGAGGTTGGGGATTTAAGGAATGTGTTAAGAAAAAATGGGGTGGTAGGGGGGAATGAGGGGAGGTCAGGGATTGGAAAGTGTGGGGGAAGGTGGGAATTGTGGGAGGAGGAGAAGATGTATTTTTTATGGGGGGGGGGGGTTTTGGGTTTGAAGGGGTTTTGGGGGGGTGGGGGGTGAGGGAGGGGAAGAGGGGGGATAAGGAGGGTTGTAGAGTTAGGGTGAAGAATAAGATAGAAGATGGGGGGGAGGATGAAAGAGGAGAGGTAGGGTAGAGGGGGTTAAGGAGATAAGGGGGGGGGGGGAAGGGGAGATTTATATTATAGGGGTAGGAGGGGTGAAGGGATTAGGGGTAATGGGGTAAAATTGTAATGTTTAGAGATATGGTAATGGGAAGGAGGGAGGTTGGGGGGGAATAAATTGTTTGTCTGGAGGATGGTTTAGGGGAAGAGAGAAAAGAAGATTGGTTTAGAGGGGGGTAAGTATGGGAAATGGGATGGTTTTGGGATGGGGTGATTATTTTGGTTTTGGGGGGGGGTTATTGGTTTATTGGGTGTGAATAAGTTGGGGGGGGTTTTTGAATGGGATGTTTGGGGGTAATTGGAGATGAATGGTTATTTATTGTGGGGGGAGGGGGAATAAAGAAAGATAGAGGTGTTTGGGGTGGTGGAGAGGGGTTGGGGGGTTAGTGGGTTGGGTGGGGTGGGGGGGGGGTTTAGGATGGTATGAGGGTGAAGAGTTATGGTGGGGAGGAATATGTAGGGTGTTTAAGGGGGTAGGGAATAGGTGGGAAAAGTTTGGGAGGAAGGGGTGAAGGGGATTTGATGGTAGGGGTTTTGGGGTTGGGGGGGTGGAGTGTGGTGGAGTGGGTGGGGGGGGGGGGGGATGGTGGGGTGGGGGTTTTTATGGTGGTGTGGGGGATGTTGGAGGAGTTTTAGGGGTGTTGTTGTGATTGGGTGGATGGAGGGGGAATTAGTGGTAGATGTGAAGGGGGTAGGAGGATAAGGGAATGAGAAGAGGGAGGGTTTATTAAGAGGGGGAGGGTGTTAGGGGGGGGGGGGGGGAGTGGGTGAAATTTGGGGTTGTGTGGGGGAGGGGTTGTAGGTTGTTGTGGGGGGGTTTGGTTAGTGGGGGGAGGGATTTTGGTGAGGGATTGGAATGAATGAAATGGGGAGTAAAGGGTTGAATGGGAGGGGGATTGGGGGGGGATTGATGTGTGTAATATATTGAATGTGATAATGTAAATAGAGGGGTAAAGAGAGGGGGGGGGGTGGAATTGTGGGTAGGAGGAGAAGGGGTGGGGGTGATGGAAGGGTGAGGGATGGGGGGGGAGGGGGGGATTTGGGGGGGGTGGGAAAGGGGGTATAGTTTGAGTTTTTTGGATTAGTGGGGGGTGAGGGGGGGTGTTGGGGGGGGAGGTGGGGGTTGGGGGGGGTTTAAGATATTAGGATTGGGAAGTTGGTATATTGGGGAGGGTAATTAGGGGGTGAGTAGGGAGGAAGAGGGAGTTGTTGATAAGGGTGGGTGGTGGGATGGTTGAGGGGTGGGGGTTTTTTTGGTTAGGGGGATTGGGGGTAGGATGGGGAAATGGAGGGAAATGTTGTTAAGATGTTTGGACGGAGTATATGGAGGGGGGGGTTGGTTGGGGTATGTGGATGGGTTTTGATGAGAATTAAGGAGGGGAAGAGGAGATTGGTGGGGTGGGTATGTTTGTTTAGTGGAGTGGGATATAGGGTGGTATAGGGTGATTGATGTGGAGAGGTGATTATATTATTTAGGGAATAGTGAATGGTTATGAGGTTATGTGGGTTTATGGGAGATGATGTATATTGTGAGTTAGTAGGGATTGGGGAAGATGGGGATAAGGTTGGGAGGTGGTGTTTGGGGGGGTGGTTGTATAATATGGTTTGTTTGATTTTTTGGGTAGGAAGGAGATTTTGGGTAGGGGTGAGATATTGTATAGGGGTGATGGGGGGAAGAATTAGGGGGGGAAGGGGGTTGTATGTTGAAATGTTTGGGGGTTTATTTGATTAGGATTGGAATGTGTAGAAGGGAGGGGTAAATGGGGGTAGAAAAGGGGAAAGGAGTAAAGAGGGGGGGGTTTTGGGTAGCAGGGGGGGGTATTTGGTAATGTTGTGTTGGGGAAAAAAAAAATAAAAGGGGTTTAATAAGGGGTTGGAAGAAGGGAGAAGAGATAGGGAGAAAGTGGAGAGGATTGTTTTGGGGGGGGGAAAGGGGAAAGGTGTTGGGGGAGTTAATTGGGGGGAGTGTGGTATGGGGGTGGGGGTACTATAGATATAGGGAAGTAAGGGGGAGTAAACAGGGGTGGGAGGTGGGGGAGAAAGAGATGTGAAGGAAGGAGAAATTTAAAGGTTTTATAAAAGGAGTGAAGGGGTGAAGGGTTTGAAGTGAAAGGGGGAGTATATAGGGGGTGGGTTAAAGGGTACGAGAGAAAAGGGGAATGGGGGGTAAAGAGTGGGTTTGGGTAGAGAGGGTATTGGTAATGTTTGTTGTGGAAAGGGTTTAATAAGGGGGGATGAGAAGGAGAGAAGGAGATAGGAGAGAAGATGGAGAGGGATTGGTTTTGGGGGGGGGAAAAAGGGAAAGGTGTTGGAGTTAATGGGGGGAGTGTGGGTATTGGGGGGGGGGTAAAAAGATAGAAGAAGTTAATGGGAGTAATAAGGGGAAGGGGAGAAAGAATTTAAGGGAATGGGGATATGGAAAGGGGGGGTTGGAAGAAAGAGGGAAAGGGTAAAGATTTGAATTTTATAGGGGGGGTTTGAGATTTTATAGGTGTAGGGTGGGGATTTAGGAAAGGGGGTAGTAGGAAGTTTATAGGTGGGGGGGGGGGGGGGGGGGAGAAATGAAAGTGTATTGAGGTTGGGGTTAAAGGGGTGAAATAGAGGTTGGAGGTGTGGGAGGGATATAACTATATGTATAGTTTGGTTATAAGGTGGGGAAAGGGGGGGGTATGGGAATTATGTTGGGGATAAAAAGTGTAATAATAGGGGTGAAGGGTTTTAGGGTTGTAGTATTTTAATGGATTGAGAAAAATATTATTAGTGGGTATGGTTGGTGAGGGTGTGGTTGGTGTTGAGGGGGATGTGATGTTGGATGGGGGGTATTTGGTGGGGTATGTGAAAATAATGGGAAGAGGTAGTTGGTCTGATGGGGGTGGCTTTTTGGATGGGGAATGGAAGTGTGTAGGTAAAAGGGTAATGTTAATGCGGGTGGTTTGGGTGTAATTGGGCGGAGCATAAGAAGGAAAAGAAGGATGTAATGGGGATGGGAAGGTATAGGGAGTGGGTGTGTATTTTTTTTTGTGGTGGATTTATGTATAAAACATGGGGGGTTGGTAAAATGATGTAAGGGGAGTTGAAAAATAAGGTAAAGGTAATTTGGATAGGAATAGTAATGGGGGGGATGAGGGTTGTTTGGGGGTTTTGTGTGATAAGATGGGTTGGGTAGGGTGAAAAGGAAGGTGGGTTGGAGAGAGTAGAGAACAAAAAAGAAAGGGAATATTTTTGTTTTTGTATAGGGGAAGGTGGGTTTTTTTGATGTATGTGGGTGTTGTTTAAGATTGTTGGTAGTATGATATATGGGTGAGGGGTAGTGAGAGGGAAGAGTTGGAAGGATATAGGAAAGGAGAATGGGGGAATGATTATAGGGGAGGGTGGGGGAATGAGAATGGGGAAAATAGGGGTGGAGGGGGTTTTGGAAGGGGGAGGAGTTTGGGATGGGAAGTGGTATGGGGGGGGATGTAGGTAATGGAGATGATATGGAATTGGGTGATCGGTGATCTGTTTGAGATGGGATGGAGAAGGGGGGTGATGTTGATGAGAGGGGTTGATAGGGGGGGGGAATATATGAGGGGAATTCAGGGGAGGGTGGGTGTATGTGAAAATTGGGGGGGGGAGGAGAAGGGAGTTTTGTTGTTTGGGGGGGATTGTTGGGTTATGGAAAGGTATGGGGGATAATAATGATAAGTAATGAGTTGCTTGATGGGATGGGTGGATTTTGATAAGGATAGGGGAATAGGAGGGAAAGGGTTGGGATTGGAGTGGTTGTGGGAGGTATATAGGGGGAGATTGGGGAAAGGAAGATGGGGGTTATTGGGATTTGGGGTGAAAATGGAGGTAGGTGAGGTGGGTTTGGAGGGGAAGGGGGGGGGGATGAGGGGTTAAGATAAGGAAGGAGGAGTGGTTTGTTGGTAAGATATTTGGGTGGGATTTTAGGAATGGTTTGGTTAATGATGTGTAGGGAGATAGGTGGTGGGGGGGGGATATGTGGAGGGATATGTAAGATTGTGGGAGGGATGGGGGATTTAGGATATGGATGTGGGTGATGTGAAGGTGGGGGTAATAGGGAGGTAAGGTGGGGGAGGTGGGATGATGTTTTTATATGTAGAATAAGAGGAGATTTTGATGAAGGAGGAGGGGGGAGGGGGGTTGTGTGTGGATGATTAATTTTGGAGAATGGGGGGGGTGGGATATGGATTGGTGTGAGGGATAGGGAGGGGTGGAGTGGAAGAGGGGGTGGGGGAATTGGTGGGTGGGGAGGGGGTGGGTGGGGGAAGATGAGTGAATGATATGTAAGTAGGATGATTGATATGGGGTTTTGGTGGTTGGTTTATTGTTTTAAGGTTGGGTTGGATGGGGAAAGGCTGGGTGGGGGGAGGAGGGGGTTGTTAATAAGTAGGAGATATGGGGAGGAAGTTAGGGTTGATTGATGTGGAATGTATGGAAAAGGGGGTGGTTGGAATGGGAGAGAATTGGAGATGTTGAAAAGGGAGGAGGGGTATTATAAAGGTAAGATGAAGTGGGGGAGGGGGGGAATTTGTTTGGTAATATAGGTGGGAGGGGGTGAGAAGAAGGGGTTATGAGGGGAGTGGGTGATTGTGGGTAGGTAAATAGGAGTAAGTATAGGGTTTTTTTTAGGGTTTTGGGTATGGGTTTTTATAGGGGTTTGAAAGTATGGTGGGGTGGGGTTTTATTTTTATTTGGTTGGGGGGGGGTTTGATATGTAGGTGGGGGTTTATAGGGTTATTTTGTTTTGGGTAGGGGGTATGGGTTATGTGAATGGGTTTGATTGTGGTTGGGTTTTTGTATGAGGTAGGTTGGTTTTAGGGGGTATGTTGGGTTATAATTTTTAGGTTGGTGGTGGGTGGGTATGGTATGGTTTATGGGGGGATGGTTTTTATGGTTGTGGAAAGGTGGGATTTTGATGGAATGTTGGGAGTTGGGGTAGGGTATGGGGTGGGGTGTTGTGATTATGGGTAGGGGTTATGGGGGTTATGGGGTTGATTTGGGGGAATTATAGGGGGGGGGGGGTTTTGGGGTATGGATGATGTGGGGTTGGGGTGATAAGGTTGTATGTTGTGGTAGGAGATTTTGAGGTGGTTATTTTGAAAGAGGTTATATTAAGAAGGTGTTGGGTGGGTTATTATTGTTTTTTTGTGAGTGGTTTGGGTGATATGGGAGGTTGTTATTATTGAAGATAGGAGTTTAAGATTTGGGATAGGGGGGTTTGGTGGGTGTAGGGGGAATATTGTTTGATTTAATATGGTTGGGTGGGGGGTGGTTTGTGTTTATTTGTAGGTGTTGTGTGGGTGGTATGGGTGAGGGTATAGGGAGAATTATGGTGAGTTAAATGTTAATACAAAAAGTGTGTTTGGGGGTGGTTATATTGGGTTGGGAATTTTGTAAATGTACGATGAGAGGGGTTGATGGGAGATTAGGTAGGGGTGGCGGGTTGCTAGATGTTTGATAGAGATGGGTGGGGGGGAGGGGAGGAGAAAATGGAGTGAGAATAGAAGAAATAGGGGAATAGGTGTTAAGATATAGGAAATATGGGGATATTAATGATTATTGGTAGCAGTGAGGTTGAGAGGGGATGAATGAGGGTGGGTTGGGAGGGTGTATGGAATGTGTGAAGGGGGGGGGGTAAAGGAGGGACAGGGGGAGTTTGGGTGTGGTGGAAAGTTGATGGTAAGTGTGGGAGATATGGGTGTTGGTGGTGGGTTTGAGTGTGGGGGGGTTTGAAGTAGTGGGGGTGGATTATAAGGATGTAAGGATGGTGTGTTAAGGTGTTTTGGTATGTGGTGAGATGGGGTGTTTGGTATATGATGGGTAGATTGGTGATAGGATTAGGGGGGGTGGTTTGTCCGGGGGAAGAGGATTTCGAATTGGGAAAGTATGGGGATGTGGGGGGTTATATGTTTTGTTAAGGAAGGGGGGGGGGGGTTTGGGGGGGGTGGAAATGGGGTGGATTATGGGTATTAGGTAGAGGAGGGGTTGGGGTAATATGGGGTGAGGAAGTATATTGTATGGGGGTGGGGGTGGGGATGGGGTTTTGGGAAGGGGAAAGGG